TCAAAAAAAAAAAAAAAAAAAAAGATTAGTCAAGTGCAATAGTGAGAAGAGGGGGAAGAGTAGAACAGGAGTTGAATTTGTAACTGACTGAACCAGCAGTTGAAATAACTCACTCCAGGGACAGTGGCTCACTAGCACTCTGGGAGGCCGAGGCGGGTGGATTGATTGAGCTCAGGAGTTTGAGAGCAGCCTGAGTAAAAGCCAGACCCAGTTTCTACTAAATATAGAAAAACTGAGGCAAGAGGATCTCTTGAGCCCAAGAGTTGGAGGTTGCTATGAGCTATGATGATACCACAGCACTCTACTGAGGGTGATAGCTTAAGACTCTGTCTCAAAAAAAAAAAAGAAAAGAAAAAGAAATAAAATAACTCACTACCTTGGGACCCTGCCATTGAGTATTTATTGCTCAGTCACGACTGCCTCTCCACCTCCACACGTCTGGTATTACAAAGTACAATGTTGTTTTCTGGACTTTTTCTTGACCTTGCTTGCTAACTGAAGTATTGGAAAAATGGCCCCTCAAAGAGATGATGACACATCTCTTTAGTGCAATCTAATTTACATATTAACATATGCATGATTCCCAAAGTTCAGTTCCCCACCCCAGCAACACTGGCATCAGCTGAGAAGTCAAGTTCTTGGGCCCCATACCAAATTAAGTACTCTGGATGTAGGCCTACCACTCTGTTTCTCAACAAGCCCTTGGGGTGATCTGATATATGCTGAAATTTAAGAATCATTGGCTAGAGCCCTAGACAATCCCAGCTTCCATAAGGAAGCCTGGAAAATAACAGTCTCATTTCTAAATTCTGAAGTGTAAGATGGCATCACAGGGGTAGGAACAAATACCGAGTGCCAACGACCATATGCAGCAAAAGAAACTGGTCTGTGGTATCAACTGCTTCAGTCACGTGTGGAATATGATGGCAACTGAAAAGAAATCATTGAATCTGTTGATTAGGATGTCATTGGTGACTTTTGAGGGAAGAATTTCCACAGTGGGGCATATAGGATGAGAGACGGAATGATATTAAAGTCAAATTATAGGGGATTTAGAATAAGCACAGAAGATTCTTTTTTTTTTCTAATTGAGACAGTCTTACTTTGTCACCCTTAGTAGACTACCCTGGCATCTGGCAAGCGATTCTCTTGCCTCAGCCTCCCTAGTAGCTGGGACTACAGGCGACTGCCACAATGCCCAGGTACTTTTTTTGTTTTGTTTTGTTTAGCAGTCCCTTCCAGGTTGGGTTCGAACCCACCAGGCCTGGAGCATGTGGCCAGCACCCTAACCACTGAGCTACCAGCACCCAGCCAAGCACAGAAGATTCTTTTTTTTTTGAGACAGTCTCACTATGTCAACCTCAATAGAGTGCTGTGGCTTCAAAGCTCACAGCAATCTCAAACTCTTGGGCTTAAGCAATTCTCTTGCTTCAGCCTCCCAAGTAGCTGGGACTATAGGTGCCTGCCACAATGCCCGGCTATTTTTTGGTTGTAGTTGTCATGTTCTTTGGCAAGTCTGGGCTGGATTCAAACCTGGCAGCTCCAGTGTATGTGGTTGGCACCCTAGCCGCTGAGCTACAGGCACCAAGCCCACAGAAGATTCTTAAAATTAGTGTAGCTAAGCAATGAAAGGGAGAAATG